TATTATATATATAATATATATATATATATATATATATATATATAAGCGTGGCGTATTTACTACCATAATTTACATCGTATTAACTATCATATATATATAATATATATTTATAATATAAATCATCAAAGGTACATATACAGTGTTTAATAAGGACATGATGGAACATCGTAGGCTACTCTGTAGCTTTTCAACGAATAAAGTCCTATGAGAAATCATTGTGTAATAAAATGCCTCCGACGGGATTCAAACCTGCGACCTCTCGCTGACAAGGCGAGCGTCATAACCACTAGACCACGAAGGCTTCATGGTTGAACAGCTCCAAATACCCGTCGGGAACATTGTATTACACAATGCTATGCCTCAAGAGGGCGTTTGGCCAGAGAAATCTGAAAATACGGCTAGAAATACTGTCGTATATTATATATGATATTGAAGAAAGTTAGCCGTTAACACTGTTGAATAAATATAATATAAATCATCAAAGGTACATACACAGTGTTTAATAAGGACATGATGGAACATCGTAGGCTACCCTGTAGCTTTTGAACGAATAACGTCCTATGAAAAATCATTGTGTAATAAAATTCCTCCGACGGGATTCGAACCTGCGACCTCTCGTTGACAAGGCGAGCGTCATAACCACTAGACCACGAAGGCTTCATGGTTGAACAGGTTCAAATACCCGTCGGGAACATTGTATTACACAATGCTATGCCTCTAGAGGGCGTTCTTCAGATAAATCTGGAAATACGGCTAGAAATACTGTCGTACGGTATATTATATATGATATTGAAGGAAGTTAGCCGTTAACACTGTTGAATAAATATAATATAAATCATTAAAGGTACTGTACCTTTGATGATTTATATTATATTTATTCAACAGTGTTATAAATATAATATAAATCATCAAAGGTACAGTACCTTTGATGATTTATATTATATTTATTCAACAGTGTTAACGGCTAACTTCCTTCAATATAATATATATTTTAATATATACATATATTTGCAAGGCTGAGTATTTTTGCGTTCGTACAGGAGTCATTTAGGAGAAATCCCAAGTATGTGTCTTCAGAACAAAATAACAGTAATTACATGTTGATGATGACATAATTAATGTCGAAATATTGAATCCCAACACGATGGCGTGTATTTCAATACTTGGAGTATGTATTATACTTTCGTAATTATATGTTTTATGTAAGTTGTTTAGCATTTTCAAATGAATTTTATTATTATCTTACATCTATATAGTAGATCGGATGAATTACTTACAATTAGACCGTACAACTTCACATTTGTAGGAAATAATATTTCTTCTACTTGGTAGCCAGGTTCAATGCTGTAAATTTCACAAGATCCGGTTACTTCGTAATACGCTATAAATGTACATTTTGCAATGTGGTATAAACACCTCTGAACACACTGAGTTGATGTCTTCACCAAGGTTTGTTGGATAGAGTGACTTGATAGGCTGTCTCTTATACACATCTAGATGTGTATAAGAGACAGCATATATTTTAAGGCTTGTCCATTATATGTAATAAAATACAAGATATTTATTATTGTTGTTTAACGTTATAGTTATTTATTATATCCAGGTTATGAGGTACAGACCTCCACATTCTCAATACAAATGGGTGGGGTGTAAGCTTTACTCTACTTTGTTTTATGTTATGTTTTTGTACATTCAATTAAAAAAAAATGACCAACAGTCAGTGATGTGTTTGAGTGGATTTGAATACCTTGGTGATTAAGATATTTTCCTACCAATCACAGGGTCCTGGTTTGTATTTCTGTCAGTGTTGCATGATTTCTTTTCACTACCAAAACAACTCCACCCCCTAAGCCCCATAATGAATTTTTTTATGCCTTGTTTTGCAAACTTAATTTTTTAAAGATCGTCAGAGGAGGAAAAATAAACAATACAATTTTGTTTTCTATTTTAGAAAATTTGCTTTGCATCCACAACATTCGGAAGGGGAGAAATTAAAATAACATTGTATTAGTGAATGTTAACTGTGTAATAATTGGATTGTTAAATGCTTTAAATTTATATAATTATGAAGGAATATGCATATCATATTTTTTTGAGATTACGAATAAAATTTCATTTTTATTCCAAATCGTGTTCGCTAAACAAGAAAAAAGGTCCCGCCTTAGGTATTGACTAAAAACCAGAGTAAATCTTCAAAATGTTTTCTATAAATAGTGAATTTTCTTACCGGTTGCTTGTGAGTACATCGTATATAGCAGTGTGAGGCTGAGTAGAAATACCGCATTCATACTGATTAGCTTGTTTTCGAGTCAAAATGACAAACTTCGTTTCTAGCCCTGTTATAGCTACTTGTAGTGAATTTAAAATCGTAATTCAAGCGCGAAATTCAAAGTAAATTGGGAATCTTGCTAGGCTTTGTGATGATACACAGTATAGTGAAACGTCAACCAGGACTTGGTTCTACACATAGAAAACAAGTACCGGTAGTTCGGCCAAACCACTTATCACAAACACGTTTTTTTTTTTTTTTTTAAAGGTCAAACATCGCTAACACACCGAAAGATTTTCATCTAATTGTGACTCCTTCCTGTCAAGCACACCATCAATTTGGGTTGAATGGTGAATGATCCCTCCTATATCAGTGTTTTTTGGGTTAATGTTTTTTTTTTAAATATCGTAATATGAATACGGTTGTCAATATCCCATTAGATGGACAATGCGTAATGGATATTACTTTGATATGCGCTTATAATAATATTTGGAAACACTTTGTATAAACAATAAAATTGCTTTATATTTTGATTTCCCTTCGAAGCGGACGATGAAGTCTGCCAACATAATTGTAAGTCAATGGTGTCAGGTTTGTGTCCAAAGCGTTGAGGGCTCTGCTCATTGGTGACCTGGACTGAAACTTGTGCTCACGTTACTCTTGCCTAACCCTGTTTAATTGCTCTAACGGGATTATAGAATTAGACTGAAAATTGACGAAGCTGTTCTTTCAAAAGTTGAGGACATCACTGTGTTGTGGATGTTCATTGATCATCTAGCGCTAGCTCACCTGGTAAACTGAAACATTCTATGAGAATGAAATCAAGGTCATAGTGCCAAAGTGATGTTTGTATTATGCCAAAAGTAATGTTTGTCTCAATTGGTATCTCATCCTTTTATGAATACCTACGAAAATCGGTTTATGGTTTTTATAAACCGATTATAGCTTCAGAAAACAACAATTAGCACTGTTAATTTTCTTTTTGGAAAATTTATTTAAATGGAATACCTTTTTTTAAATATAAGAACCAGTACAATTTCGCGCATGCTATTTTTGCAAACCGTAGGGTCACAATGTTCATATATCTTTTTTTATTTTGCACACTTTTCATAGATAGAAAATTATTATTGTAAAACAGTATATTACTGTACTGTATTACAGAGGGAATTTAATAGCCTCAGAACGGTTAAATAGTTTAATAATTTCCTCTGTCCTACTGAAAATTGACATCAATTAACTCAAAGAAATTTATTACAAAAAGGCGTTTCACTAAAATTTCTAATTTGTTATCATTTATCGACCAACAACCATCGTTTTGTTTATGTAATTTTCTCATGTCAAAGTGGTGATTCTTTCAAGTATTCATTTCACGTGTAATAAAAGTTTGAATAGAAGTATCACAAAGATTCAAAGTTATTTCACTCCTGTCCTTAATTTTATATTACAGTACGTCAGTGTCGTTCGCACAATAAGTGGTTTTCTCTTAAAATCTTTACAACTTCAGTGTCAGGGACTCAGTGAGGAATGCTTCTGTTGCAGTTATATTCAAATTGCAGCATCATTAGCATCATTGATATAATGTGAGGGTTGCAAAAGTGCGAGCCAGCGAGGCATGCAATTCATGCGAGCCATGACTGTAATTCAGGGCCGGCGGAACGTTTTTCAAAGTGTATAAGAGACAGCTTATAAGATGAATGGGAATATGAAGAATTATGCAGATCTGGAATCAAACCTAGGGGGTGGGGGTTCACATTTTTTTTTTGATTTCTAGTGCGGGAAATGACCTTTCTCGACTTTTGAGCTAGGTACGGTATCTAATGACTTGTTCTTCAAAATTCAAGGTTTTTCCCCTCTTGTGTGTGGTTATGTGTGTATACATACATTTAAAAAAAAATTAGTAGTTGCATACGTATTCTTTTTTCAATGAATCGATAAGCTGCAAAGAAAAGGGGGTCCGGGGATCTCTCCCGGGAAAATTTGGATTCCTAGATAGCGGGAAATGAGCTTTTCCGACTTGTGAGGTGTCTTAATTACTTTTAGGTTCTTCAAAATTCAAGGTTTCCTTTCTTGAAAACGGTCAACTAAATTGTCCACTTGTTATTACAGTAAATAGGCCTTATGTGTTTAGATATATACATAGAAAAATATTGAGTAGTTGCATACAATTTTTTTTTTCATGAATCGATAAATCCCAAAAAGAAAGAAGCTTTCCCGACTTCTAAGATGTCTTTTAATTACTTTTAATTTCTTCAAAATTCAAGGTTTTTCCCCTCTTGAAAATGATTCAATGAATCAATGAACCCCAATGGAAAAGGGGGTCCGGGTTCCCCCGGGAAAATCTCAATTTCTAGAATGCGGGAAATGAGCTTTCCTGACTTCTAAAATGTCTTTTAAGTTCTTCAAAATTAAAGGTTTTCCCTTCTTGAAAACGGTCAGGTAAATTTTTCTCATTTTTTATTTTATGTGTGTGTACATACATAAATAAATGATTAGTTGCATGGGTATCCTTTTTCCATGAATGGATAATCCCAATAAAAAGGGTTGGTCAGGGGGCTCTCCCCCGGAAAAATTTTGATTCCTAGATGGCGGAAAATGAGCTTTCCCACCATTTGAAATGTGTTTTAATGACTTTTATGTTCTTCAAAATTCTTATTTTCTTAACTTACAAAAAAAAAAAAAAAAAAAAAAAAAAAAAAAAAAAACAGCTCACGTGTCCTGAAAAGGTAGGTCTAGAATTCTTTTTCCCCTTTCGAAAAAATGTAACTCGGTCTGGGACTGGATAAACATCTCTTTCCCATCCTTCTCCTTCCCTCTTTCTTTTCTTGCATTTCTTTCTGATCATACAAAAATCTCCAGACATTATATGTGTTTTGCCAAAAAGTGGGGGCCCATGTAATTTATGCAGGGCGTCTACCAACAATGCGAATCATGCAAAGCACACAATTCCACGCTATAAACATTTCTGCAATTTATAAAACAGTTACAATAATGAATTAACTACTTTTAACATAATTATTTTGATGTTAAAAAGATAATTTCCAGCTATTCAGACGTGACTTCAAATATGGCACTAATGATATAATGACAGGCTATGTAATATTCATTTTCACTCACAGTCTGCCCATTCGCCCAATGCATGGATGAGGATAATATTTATTTTTTACAAAATAAACATAACTAGCAAAGACAATTAAAAAACATGAAACAAAACACAATAGAAAGAGTAAACGTCATAATTTGAAACGCATAAAAGACTAGCAATACCGTAATTAATTTATGGGTTAACATCGTGTAATCTATCATGTTTTCAAAAACAATTAATAATTACACAGTATCATTTATTCAAATAAGTGCTCCACTTTGAACAAACGTCCCTACCCCCAAATAAACGTCCCCCCCCCATTCATTTCATTTGGAATAAACGCCTCGTTTAATTTTTCTTCCAATTGTCTCTATATAAGTAACTATAGACGTATGAAATGGAAGCAATATCATTTTCAGCATTGGGTTAATTATCAATGTTTCACCCTAGTGGAATTAAATCAATTGCTAATTAATTAGGGATTTAAAAGCCGTGCAAAAACACTTACCATTAATTATGCATAGTAGACTGCATTTACCATTAAACGCTGGCTCCTCATAAACCCATCTGAACAATAAATGCCCCGGGGTGTTTATTCGAATAAATGCAGTACCGGTATATTATAATTATTGTATAACTATATATTTATTACTTAATTGTCTGACTGTATTGCCAAATTATATAAAAACAAAGTATGATTAACAAATCAAATTATAAAAAAAAATTGTAGATGAATTCATTGTTTAGTACAGCATTTCTCAATAAAATCAATGCAATTTTCACATGTATACCACAAAAAACACCAAATCATGCCTGCCCTTATCTTATCCAATGACGATATTCTTTTTTTAAAATGAACTATTTCATATATGTTTGCAATAAAGTATATATTATGTATGCAGAGGCCTTGTCAACAAAATATAAAAATATTATAATTATAATTATATATTGTATAAACAACAAAATTACATTTTTTTTTTCATAATACAACGGACCTTCAGCGGCTCCTTTCGTCATTTAGCCAATCAAATCAATGCATTCAGTTCATGGTGTGGTG